TGGTGCATTTGGTGCACAGGGCTGGTGCCTGCTTGCTGGGGGCTGTACGCATGGGCGCGTGGGAGCACGTGCGGGTCCCAGGAGTGTGTGCACACGAACGTCTATGGAAGTGGTGTGTCCGCGTGCACGCCTGCGCGTGCTGCTTGGGACATGGTGGCCGCCCCCCGTGACCTGCTGGTGCTGTGCCCCCAGTCCCTGCCTGCTCGAGGGTCCTGGCGGGGTCCGGGGACTGGGAGCAGGGGCCTGATGAGAAGGAGGCCCCTGCACAGGGGTATCTGCCCTGCGTGAGGTCATAGAATGTTAAATCTATTTTAAATGGTGAAACTGGAGAATTTTCATGTTATTTTCAATACATAGCGGTATCTAAAGACATAGGCCAAGAGACTAGACCACATTAAATGCATTTTGATCTCTTTGAGTGCCACCGTGTGGAGATGTGTGTTTGAAAATCCCTGCCTGGCGTTCCTGGGCTCGGTCAGCCCACTGTGACCCAGAGCCTCGGGGGCCAGGGTGGGGTTGGATCCGGTGGGAGCCCTGGGAGAGAAGACAGAGCCCCGCCCGCTTGCAGACCCCAGCAAGTTCTTCCAGCTGGGACATGCCCCCGCGGACCCCTGTGACCGCACACCCTCTCCCGCAGAGGCCCTGGAGTGCGCCCTCCCACCTCCTCATGCTGGATGTGATACTTCCCCAGCTGTGTGACCTTGGGCCACTTCCCTGTCCTTCCTGGGCCCACACGCCCCTCTTTTACTTCCTTCTGCTGAGATTCAGGGCACCGTCCACATGCGGCTGTGTGCTGCGTGTGGGAGAGTGGTCGCTTTTTCTGAGGACTCCATCGTGGGAGACTCCGCCAGCAGCCCTGGTTCTCACCACAGTGACAGGACAGAAAGCCGCGGTGGGCAGGCAGAGGGCCTGCGGACCCCTCCTCCAGCCTGGCACGGTGACAGGGAGGAATTGGAGTGGTGTTCTCCCTGGAGAGGCTGAGATGAGGAGGGCCACAGGGCAGACAGGGGCTGCCTGCAGGGACAAGAGGACACGCAGGGAGGAAGACATGCGAGGCCCATCTAGGGGAAAGGAGAATTTTATCTGTACCAAGCGCTCCGTCTCTGGGGTGTCAGTGGCCTTCCGGCAGAGGCCCACAGGGAGAAAATTCTTTCCTTTGCCCCAGCTCGTTCCCTCACTTGAGAACTTCTCTGCATCAGTGAAGGACCCCGGGGACGCTTCATTCTG